TGATTTAAGCGACAAATAGCATTCTGCAGGCGTATATGGCAGTTTCCAATCTATAACCTCTGTGATCTGTGGACATAGATCGTTGATCCGTCGTGGACTGTTTATAGAATGTTTGTTCTAATTCTCACATTTTAAGAAACATTACGCATTGTTAGATTTAATTTTTGCAAAGATGCCACCCACTATCCAAAACGGACCAGGTCCAGGGGAGAAGCGTCCGGAACGACCTGTAAAACCCGTAGAGAAAAGGTACTTTTATAGCATTTCGTACAACTTTTATTGTATAACGCTTCTTTTTGCATATTTATAGATCGGAATTAATATGTAAAGTGAAATACTGCAATACCTTACCAGATATTCCATTCGATCTCAAATTCATTTCATACCCCTTTGAGTCATCTCGTTTTATTCAATACAATCCCACATCATTGGAGAGAAACTACAGATATGAAGTACTCACTGAACATGATTTGGGGGTCAATATCGATTTAATCAACAAGGATACATACGCTATTGGAGACGGAACTGCAATGGATCCTGCGGACGAAAAATTGCTGGAAGAAGACATTCTTACACCTCAAGACTCCAAAAGATCACGCCATCATGCCAAGTCGGTTTCATGGCTTCGTCGTACTGAATATATTTCTACTGAACAGACCAGATTTCAACCACAGACCATGGATAAAGTTGAAGCAAAAGTGGGTTTCAGTATTAAAAAATCCTTTAACAGCGAAACTCTTTATATGGACAGAGACTCTCAAATTACTGCCATCGAGAAAACATTTGCTGATGCAAAAATTCCTATTGATAAGCATTACAGTAAGCCGAATGTTTTCCCAGTCGAAGTTTTGCCAGTTTATCCCGATTTCAATTTGTGGAAGTATCCTTGTGCCCAAGTTATTTTCGATTCTGATCCAGCACCTATTGGCAAAGGAATTCCGGCGCAAATTGAAGAAATGTCCCAAGCTATGATTCGGTATGTGCTCTAAACCTTATATATTTATTTATTACTTTGAAATTGTCATGATAAATTATTTAGCAGAACATTTTCAATATTTAACTCTTATAAATTCTTTAGAGGTGTAATGGATGAAAGTGGTGAACAGTTCGTAGCCTACTTCCTTCCAGTTGAAGAGACATTGAACAAACGGCGTGAAGACTTTGCAAACAATATTCCTTATCAGGATGATGAAGAATATGAATATAAAATGGCTCGAGAGTATAACTGGAATGTAAAAAGCAAAGCGAGCAAAGGTATTTAATACATACATAAAAATTCACTAAATTCAATTACTCAAAACAATTGAAACTTTTTTCAAAAACTTTTTGGAGTTTTGGATTACGCGTGCAGTCACGTGGTCATTAGAGAAATGGTTAAACATCAAGCATATTTTTAAAATCAACATAACCCAATGCGAAATTAAAAAACTTGACAATTTTAATTCCGCCGTTATTGCAGCAAACCATCTCTTCTCTCCCCTGAACAAAATTTTGAAATTATTTAATCAATAAAACGGTTTTACTTATTAACTACAATTTTTATGATTTTGGTCGTTCATATACGTGGTAAAAATGTTTAAGCGTATATTATGTTTCAAGATAAGCACTTTCAGTAAACATCTCAACTGTTTCTAAATGTGTGCTACTTAAATATATTTTTATTAGGTTATGAAGAAAACTATTTTTTCGTGGTACGGCACGATGGAGTTTACTACAATGAGCTCGAGACCAGAGTTCGGCTAAGTAAGAGACGACAAAAGGTCGGCCAAGCCCCGAGCAATACCAGGTTAATGGTTAAGCACAGGCCCATGAAAGCAAACGAATTCAAGATGCAGAGATACAGAGAAAGACAACTGGAACCTCCGGGTAATTATATAATTTGTTTTTCCATGCTAACCGAATTTGTTCTAATTTATGTAGTTCTGAACATTAATTGTATTCGTATTCTGATAACTGGTCTGCAAATTGTGAAAATATTGAATTAAATTTAGGCGAAGACGACGAAGAACTTGAAATTGAAGAGGAGCCGGAAGAAATGGAACAAGATCCGAACGAAAGCCAAGCGGAGTCCGATCAAGATCAAGAGCAAAGTGTCAAAGCAAAGGAAAGTGACAATGAAAGTAACGACGGAAGGGCATCAAAGCAATCTAAAGCTTCATCAAGATCCTCTAGGCGCTCTAAAAAATCTAAATCAGCCTCTCGATCTCGATCGCGGTCCGTTTCTAAATCAAGATCACAATCGAAATCTCGATCCAGGTCAAGATCGAAATCCAAATCTCGTTCACGATCCCGATCGAGGTCACGCTCTGCTTCTCGATCAGTTTCTCGTTCGAAATCTAAGTCTAGATCCCGTTCAAAATCGAAGTCCGCATCGCGATCTCCTTCAAAATCGCCGTCTCGCTCCAAATCCAGATCAAAAAGCAGATCTCCTTCGAGATCACGGTCGAGATCAAAAACTCCTAGATCACGGTCGCAATCGAAATCTTTATCTAGATCACGGTCTGGCTCTCGATCAAAATCCGAGTCGGGTTCTCGATCAGGTTCTGCCTCCGAAAGTGAGTAAAGCTTGTTTGTTTATTTGGAATGACAACTTATATACTACCTATGCTAGTTTTAGTTGTTAAAAAGTTACAAGAATTATGTAGTTAGACGCATGGTAAAAAAATTGTCTATTATTAAAATAGCATATTGTGGTAAAACTCCAGTTTTAAAGGTTAGATTGTATTCGGTGAGGAAAAAATTGTGAATAAAGGAAAACTACCCAAATTAACTCACAATTTCATTCAGTATATTAATACCAGTAATATTAATTTTCAGTTAGAATTAAAACAAACCTATATCGAAACTACAAAGCGATTCCATTAACTAAATAAATAGCTTCATTATCACAACCGCAAATTACTTTGTTCTTGCTTACATCCAAACTGTTAATTGGTTTCCCCAAA